CACACACACACACACACACACACACACACACACACACACACACACCAGCAGGTATCAATGGCAGAGCTTTTGTTGTGTCGCTACCTCGATGCAGACTGAATATTCAAATCATGACAATGACTTTTAAACATAAAACAGCCACCTCCCCACCCCAGACTACAGTAAATTCATTTACAGAACAAAGTAACTAACCTTCCCCCTAGCCTTTGCAAAACCAGAAACTGTTCAGTGTATGAAGGATTGTTCTTTTAGTTAATTATGGAAGACGAGGGGATTGTTAAGAGGAATGCTGTGACATTGGTAACCTCCTCAGTACCTTAAGATGGAGTAGAAAGGTTGGATTTAAGAGACACAGAAAGCCAGCGTGTTTGCTCTACACATGGGTAACAATCTGTGTGGGTGTGCTATGATGACTCAAAAATAGCCACTTCATGTTGAGCTCTCACTTCATCACACGATAGCCTGAATCTGCTACGTGTGCAGACAGCTGCCAGATGTGAATTACACATGGCCCAATTCTGCCACTGAGTGGAACGGAGCACCGTGGTATCAGCCGTTTTTGTCCTCAGGAAAGTATTAAATGGACTGTGCTTTCGGCGCCGTAAACTTTAAGGCCGCTCCGCTCGTGCAGGCATACCAGAAGTTGCTCACTTAGACAACATGTGGGCAGAAGGGGGAAGCACTCAGGCCGCTAACCCCGTGATTACAGCAGGCAGGGCACAAAGCTGGCACCAATACACAGTTATTACAGAGTTATTACAGAGTACTTAGCCTCGCTCTCTAATAGCCATTATGACTTCTCAGAGTCGCCAACTTCCTTAAATGAAAAAGTGGTGGTTCTCTTATTCCAATAATGTGCTCGACTCAATCAGAGGGGCTGTTTCTCCCTACTCTGACAGAAGTGTTATCAAAGACCCAATTAGCATAAGAAAGCTGGCAATCATCTCAACGGCCTCCCTTTTAAAATCTACGCACTTCCCTGCATAGGCTGGCTTTACAAAACAAACACAATATTGAACGATTGTCTGGTAAACCACAGAGAGACTCACAGATTCTCTACGGCAGCACACACTGTTCAGAGACAGAGAACATTGGCTTCTGCAATTTTGGCAAAGCGCTGTGAGTTCCCTGCTAGATGGATTGCAGGCTCAGGACTCAGCCGGCGATCCCTTTTAAATAACACAAAACTTCCGAAAAGTTTCCCCTTGACACAGAGACGGGTTAGATCAAACTTACTTTTTAAAGGGAGCGACTGTAAGTGTGTGACTGTTTCAGAGGTTTCTTAAGAGGCCCTCAGGCCCCCTCAGCCCTCAGCGTTCCCCGCCGGTCCCGGGTTCTCACCTCTCCGGGAAAGCCCTGTCCGTTGAGGAGGTGCTCGGAGCCGTGGGAGTCCTCGCTCCCGAAATGGAGGCGGACCTCCTCCAGCCGGTAGCTGTAGCCCAGGGGGCCCCCGGAGATGTTGACCAGGTGGGCTTTGTCCGGCCGCAGGGACACGTGCTTCCCTGTGTTGTACATGGTGCCGCCCATCTGGACAGAAACACACAGCGGGGGGGGCAATCATTCACAATCTGCCAAAATGGGACGAAATGACTTTATGAGGCCGGAGAGGCTCAACGACCGGCCCTCCAGCCACCAGAAACACCCCATAGGAGCTGCCGCTGATGGGGTTTGCCATTTTGACAAATGTGTGGATAGAGTCAGTGTGACACAGGTCTGAGTCTGGGAGTGGGGGCCAGGCGACCCAGTGCGGCTGGATGCTGGACGGGTCCAAAGCCCGCCGGTGGCATTCGACACGGCTCCCCGGGGACGTATTCAAATGACTCTGATTACCCTCTGCATCTGTAAGGGCTCCTCGTAAAACTGCTGACATTCACACTTGTTTTGTTTGTTGTGGTGACACCGGCCGCGCTCACACCTGCTGAGTGTGTGACAGTGGAATTAAATAAGTCCAGAATAATGTGCTCAGTTTAATTCATGTGCCACAGGACCCAGTCAAACTATATGCAGATTTTCCTGTTTACCTCTAGAAGGGCATGCACTAACCTTTTACACACAGCCAGTTATCTAATTAATCAAACAAACAATCAAACAACCAAAGAAAGTGACAGTAAAATGTATTAATTTATTCCGAATCTCAGTAAGAAGCTATGACACCCTATTTCACAAGAAAATATCTAAATCTTGCCGAGTGTATTTGTCTCATTTCTTGTCAAAATATCTCATTACACTTAGTATAAGACACAACTGCCAACAGGTGCAATTTCATCAGGGTACAGGGAGTTTTAAGACAACACATCTTGAATATCTTGTCAAGTGAAAAAGCCTTGGAAACATTGTGTTTTTAGTCATATATAACAAAAGCTGTTGTGTTGTTTGCAAAATGGAAATCATCTTGTTTCAGGAATTAGACTTGATTTAAGAAAGTGCTTCTTTTGAATAGGAAAACCTTAAGATTCAACTGATTTTGCATAAAAAACTCATCAGAGAGTGACAACAAGAGCAGGGATTCCCAGAATGGGGATGTGTTCCTTTAACCAGAGTAAAACTCCAACAAAGTGGAATAATGATGCATAATTTAACAGAGGCCTAACCCTAAAAGCACTTCCTAATATGATGCATGCCATGAGTTTTTCCAGCTAATTTAAACACATTTTATCCTAAAAATGCTTAAAGAGCGACTTTTAATCATTTAAAAGTCGTTTCAACATTTCAAGTTGCTGATGGTCTAAAATCTGGCACGTAAAATTAGTTAATTAAAGCATTACAGCCTAATCATGATACACAGCACCTTCTAATACTAATCAAATACAGCTCAAAATAAGTTTCCCTGACTTTTTTCAAGATCACTTTATTCTGAAAGTCCACCGAGTCTCATCCAAACACATCTGATGAAACATTTTAGTATTTTCTTGCCTCCTCCTCTCTATAATAACCTTCTGCAGCTCGGTCCCAGAAATGTTGGCAAACGTTCCATCAGTGCTTCTTCTCCTGCCGTTTCCCTCCCTCCTTTTTCCCTTTTCTCCTTTTTCACGAGTCCGTTTTGGTGTCAGAAATGAGTGGCGCGTCTGTTTGACATCTTTAAGTGAGTCATTTGTGAAGCAGCAAATAAACGCAGGGAACCAGCCAGCAGATTACAGCTGTTCAAACCATGTAAATCCTTTGTCCGGTGAGTGTGAGACAGACTCACAAACACCTGCAGAGAACCGATGCTAGTGAGAGGAGGACACAAAAATCCAACAAATGCCTCAACTGATATGTGAAAGCAGTTTGTGAAGATGAAACCTGCATAGGTACGAGATGAAAACAGTGGGCCTCTGATGCCGGGGTTGTGTTATAAACAGATGGCTGCTCCATCACAAGGCCAGAAACACATCCTCTGACAAAGAAATCTAACAATATCAGAGGAGACAAAGGCGTTTGTATTGTATTGTATTTTTTTATGCTCTTTGCCTTTTGAGTCGTATATTTTCAGCCTTTTGCAGCACATAACTCAGTGATGAGCTTTAGCCGCATTCAGACTGCTCATCACACCTATCGGATGCCACCGCAGCATTCACACTTTCATTATCATTGTTTTTACAAGACAAATAAAGGGATTGCACTCTGACTTCTTTTAATTGTGACATGCCACTGCTGCGGCAATATGAAATTAAACGAGGCTCTCCAGCCTGGGATCTATTCACAGCATAATCCTCAAAGAGGAGCACGATATTATAATAAAAGAGGCTGAGGATTTAGAACCTAAAAATGACTACACATTTCTCCCTCTCAAACATCACTCAGCAGGCTCAGCAGCAGGACGGATCTGTGGGAACTCAGCAGTCTGCGCAGTTTGTTCATATTCAAGCTTCATTTAAGAACATTAGCATGTTTTTGTGTGAAAACTGGATTTTTCTTTTGTTTTTTTCCCCCTGCTCGCTCACATTTCCAAACAAATGCGACCTGTATGCGGTGTCCAGAGTGAGCCTGAAAGGGTCCCGGCAGCAGCATCACAGGTCCAGTTCCTCAGAAAACTAACAGCTCTGGTTTGTTTGAGGTTTCAGGCTCCTTCTGTTTGATCTGGAGGCTCTCATCTCTCTTTGGCTTTGGAGCTTGGGACGTTTGTAGCCAAACTTGGCCATTTTTTAGGAAATGCTAACAAAAATCACTGGTTTCCGACAAGACCCCTTGAGTTTGGCCTGGACAGGGCTGTCCAGCTAAGCATTGATGAAGTCAGAAACCTGAATTTCTGTCCACTGACTGCTCTCTGCTTTATCCTCCACGTGGTTGTTGTTGTTCTTTTGTGTAGCAGGACACAGAAAAGTGCAATTAGCAGAGGATCAGTGACATTCAGGATGGACTAGTGTGACCTGGGTGGACGGACAGGGGTCCCATTTGATGTGTGTGTGTTCTGGATTTAGGACCACATGGGACCACATGTCCATGTGTCCTGGCTCACATTTCAAACAATCCAGGCTGTGTTGTTCACACTTTCCTAAAAAGGTCAGGGCAAAAAAGTGGGATTTGGGTGAATGTGGCCGTATTTAAACACACTGAGGCTGACAAGCCCCAAAAATCAACATTAATGGAAGAATGCACGACACAGTGGACTTGCGGATTGCCGGCATTCTTCTGAGAGGGATTAAAACTGCCCCCCACTATTAGGGGAAGCCCATTTTATGGCCAAAACAGACCAAGGGAAGGAATCCCCCGCCCAGTGTCTAAAGTTCTGCCAAAGCAAATGACATTGTCTGAAAAGACTATGACTCCTGCCAGAAATCCCACATCCAGTGGGACAATCCACGCCATCCGGATGAGAAGGAGAGCAAGAGGGCATTACTGCCTAAACCAGGTGAGACACGTCTATGAGAGGGTGTCAGTCACCGGAGCTGAGGTTTCCCCCAGTGATGCCGACACAGTCAGACCGACATTAGCTCAGACATTTGCCTACGATTGTGATAACGCCAGATGTGCCCTGCTTGAGATGCAGGGCTGCGTCTGCTCCGCTCAGCCCGCTCAGCCCTCGGCCTCGCCTCTGGGTCGCCCCCCCCGCACCGGGGAGACGGGATCCTGGGCGCTGATGCGAGTGATCCTGGCATCGCTGTTGCTCTTTCTCAAATTCAATATGGCAAGGAGCAGTGTACGAGCCAAGGGAGGTTGCACGCCGTGCACAACAGAGCAGCTCTTTAGCATCACAAAACAGGAGCTGCTGGCTTTTATGTAATTCATATCCTGCTTTCAACAGTATCTCCTACTGTTGGACAAATACTGATGTTAACACCTCCCCAATTAATAGCACGCCTTTAAAATGAACATATATGGGTATATATTACTATTTAGAGAAAGAATAACTTTATTAAGTGCATTTTTATGAGTGGTAAAATCAATCAGACTGGAGTTAAATGACCCGTAACATGGCGTTGAGATTTGAACTACAATGGGACAGTTTCCTTTGCATGTCTGTCTCACTTATGAATTGCATGTAAAAAAGAAAAGGTTGACTTGACTGAACCTCAGCCGATAGGAAATATTCAATATAAAAGGACAAAGCAGTTCAAAGCAAAATCAGTTACTCTTTTCTTTTCATACAGCCAAACTGAGCTCGTAAAATAAAGACAAATGACGCTTCTGGAAAGCTAAATCAACCTCCTGAACAAAACCAGTGTACTTAATCACAATGGAGGAGCAGCTGCTTCAACAAACCAGCAAATCTGAAGCTGCGGTCTCCAGTGATTTCCCCATGTTTTAAGAAAATTGCATTAGAAGTTTGGGATGTTGCACAGCAGGTGGGATTTGGCAATTGCATGTGGAAGCCCCCTGCTCTGCAGCCATGAAAACAAGTCAAACTTACTCCAAGTAATTGATTACAAATCGAGACTGTTGGATGCGAGGATTAAGAAAACCAAAACCAGCATGGGGCCCGCCTTCAAAGCCTTCTTTTTTGGTTTTCTTAAAGCATTCGAAGGGATCAAGTGAACACAGAGAGATTAGGAAGAGAAGTTGTTAAAAAAAAAAAGAGCAGAGAGATAGAAACAGAAGTGCGTCATCAAGAAAAAGTCAAGAAATATGTTTTAAACTAAATAAAATAGATTCGGAAGACATGAAATGGACCTGCTGTCCTTCATTTTGAACGGGCGCCGGACATTAAATACAATGAGGGATGTGGATCATCTTTATAAGACAAAGAACAAATGTTGACTTAACAATGTTGAATGAGTTTCTATAACTGGGTGTGAAGCAGATCACCTCAAGAGCCAGTCCATTAGCGGGCCAACAACTGTACATATTCAGATTAAGCCCTATATTTAGTTTAGAACCAACAATGAACCTGAACTGGATAAAGGGATTTTCCCCAGCAGGTTCTGTTTGGATTGCCTGTTCTTTATTGGTTCTGTTAACAGAATGAGCTTTTTTGTTCCTGAGTATTAAATGCTTTTTCCACCTTTCCAATCATTTTTTCCAACTTCTGAAACAGATGTTTAAAGTCGATGGAAATGCAGAGGATAGATCTGAGAACAAATCATCCAGACCAAAGAGGCTGAGACAGCCTTACAACATTAAATCCTTATTCTGAGTAACCAGAGCAGCAAATGGGGATATTCTACAGCTTGTGGCCCAGCTTTGTCATACCTTCTTCTTTAATAGACGAGACACATTAACTGTGATCCACTGCTTAGTTCTGACAGACCCAAAGTG